CTTGTACTCATAAACAGCTAACTTCGCAGTCACTATTCACCGACGTCAGCGCCGCTATGTATTCTACAATTTTCAAGGACAGGCGGGCTATGCTTTAGTACATAGTGATCGTTCTCCTGTTCCCTAATCATCATGGTTTCGTTTTACAGCGTCTCGGGATGCGTGTCCAGGGGCCGCTCGACATTTACCGCGCACGGTCGTTCAAACAAGATGGCGGAGCGAGATATTCACGTCGTTTTAGTACTAGAAATTGAACATTATCTAAACCTCGTATTTTGCTTTGTTAATACTGTAGTCAACAAATTCAAAAGTTCTTCGTAAGTTTTTTTTGACATTCTATACATCAATAAAAAAAAATTCGTCATCTTGGGAAAGTTCTTAGGCCGCAACAAAAAGTCGACAATTAATATTATTTTCTATATGTGGATGACGCCAATACTAGGCTGCGCTAAAAGTATCGGGAATGGAATATTTCCACTGTTCCTGTCATATTAAAATCTTTTTAATTGAAAACTCCTTGGTTTTAAAAATCGAATACCAGTTATTTATTTTTAAAAAAAGATTCTAGGTCTTGTCACAAGGTTTTGTCAAACTTGTTTAGTCGTTGAGAAAATGGAATTGACTCATTGAGCTATTATGTACTACGGCGACACTGCATTCAGCTACTCTGTTCCACTCAACTGCGGTGCATACACCGCACTTTAATCAGTCACTCGCTAGGCGCTTGTAGAGTTGTCACGTGTTGTGTTGATTTAAAAAAATTCTCTTGATAAAAATATGCCGTCGTGTGTACTTAGATATTGCACAAATAATTCAAGAAATGTCAGTAAAAACCAAGGAATTACTTTTCATCGGTTAATAAGATACTTAATCAATAAAAAAGTATTATGTATTAATAATAAAACAAATTATTCCTAAGACGCCATTTCATGTCATGGAATATAGATTATGAAATTAATATGTTAAGATGCGACATTTCTGTGGGTACTTAAGTATTGGACGAATATATTATTATATACATATTTTTGTAGAAACATATATAAGTTATTACAATTTGGCAAAATTTTCCATGTTTAAATCTGCTTATTATTATTTTATTTTATTTTTAGGTTTCCACATCAAAGTCATAGTGGTATAAATTCGTCCATTTTTAACTCCCGGGTGCCCAGCATTTATGAACGACTTTTATTCTATTTTGAATAAATATATTTGTAATTTAAATGTTATGTTAATAAGTTTTTAAACATATATTTAGTATGTTTTCTATATTTGACTTAGATACCTTTTAAAATATTCAGATAAATATATCATTAAAATATAATTGTGATATGATATTATGTAATATTATATTAAATAAGCGAATATAATATACAAAATAAAAGACAAAATTTAGATATTGTTCTCGATATAATTTGCCTATTTAACAATACAATCTAATATTAGCTACGGGTCATTCTACCTATGTTTATTCTATGATAAAAAACCAACCGCGCGAACACAGAGTAGCGCACATTTTTTGTTTGAGATAGCTGTTCTAGTACGTAAGTACATATTACTTCAATGAATTGACTCGAGAAAATTCAAGAGCAATGATTTATTATGACTTTCGAAGTGGTTTAACACTAAAACAGTGTGTTGACCGGATGATTTCTGCATTTGGTGATGAAGCCCCATCCAAAACCACAATTTATCGCTGGTTTGCTGAATTTCGACGTGGACGTGTCAAGCTCAGTGTTGATCCCCGTCAAGGTCGTCCAAAAACTGCAGTCACCCAAGAAAACGTTGATGCTGTGCGTAAGTTGATTGAGGAAGATCGACATGTGACATACCGCAAAATTCAGGCAACTTTAGACATTGCCATAAGTCAAATACGAATAATCTTGCATGAACAATTAGGTGTAAAAAGTTGATTTCCCGATGGATACCGCATTCGCTCTGTGAACAGCAAAAAGCGGCTCGCGTTACTTGGTGCGTCAGAACTCTCGAAAGATTCCACGCAGGATCCTCAAATGCTTTATACAACATCGTATCAGGTGACGAATCCTGGATATACGAGTACGAACCCGAAATAAAAAACCAGTCACGAGTTTGGGTGTTCGAAAATGAGTTAAAGCCAACAAAAATTGTTCGTTCACGGAGTGTTGCAAAAAAATGGTGGCCACGTTTGTCTCCAAAACCGGCCATGTTACGACTATTCCTCTTGAGGGACAAAGAACGGTTAATGCAGAATGGTATGCTAGCATTTGTTTGCCACAGGTTGTTTCTGAACTCCGTAAAGAGAACTGCAACCGCCGCATCATCCTCCATCACGACAATGCGAGTTCTCGCACCGCACACAGAACAAAAGAGTTTTTAGAGCAAGAAAACATAGAATTATTAGACCATCCGCCGTACAGCCCCGACCTAAGCCCTAATGATTTCTATACTTTCCCTAAAATAAAGAATAAATTGCGTGGACAGAGATTTTCATCACCTGAAGCTGTGGACGCCTACAAAACGGCCATTTTGGAGACCCCAACTTCCGAATGGAACGGTTGCTTCAATGATTGGTTCCATCGTATGGAAAAATGTGTCTTTCGCGGAGAATACTTCGAAAAGCAATAAATACATATTTAAATAGTAATGTTGTGTCACTTCCTTGATTCCCAAAATTTTCCTGGTAACGTTTTATTTTTTTTACGTAGGCGACAAATATAACAACACGCCTAAATACGTTATCACTCGAAGACGACACCTTCGGTACTGCAGGATTTTATACCCCGATAAGTGAGTAGCTGAAAGCAATGCGGTATCGTCTCGGTATAGACAAACACAAATCACTGTGGCATTATTTTGTGTATTTATTTAATATTCTATTTTATTTTAATCGCAATTACTTAATTATATGATATTTACTATCAAAAAAACTTTATCTCAGTCCCTACTACCGACTTCTGGCGAACGAAAGATTATTAGTCCACAAAAATAGACTGTCGAAACGTCAGTATATCTATGGTTATGTCAGTAAGTCTATGGTCAAAATAAATAAATATTCTAATACATACTTTGAGTAATAAAAAATATATAGAAACAAAGTTTCCGAATGAAATGATAGGCTCAGAAGGGCTAGAACCCAGATCCGTAAAGCTAGTTAAATAAAAGAGATATGTAGCAACATGGAGGTATGGAGTGTAGAAGGAGCACCAACTCTCATAGTAGAATAGTTGAAAAAGTGGCCATCTTTAAGCAGTAAATAACAGTTCAAAAACTCTCCACAACAGCGCTGGAGTAGCTACGGGGATGCAATGAACTTAGCAGTTGTCGACGGTTTGAAGTATGCTGCTAAACTGCTCAGTAGCTCTAAAATCTAAAATAATTTTATTTAGTAAATATAACCTCAAAAAAGTCGTCTATCCACTAATATTTTTCGGCGCGTTCTTTAAAATTTAGCCCGTAGCTATAGTGGCGCCACCCTTATTTAACTGTTTTCTGTGGGCACTTTTTAATACACAGTCTGCACTCCTTACTTCTATACTCCATACATGAATGTTAAAGAACAGGAGAACGATCGCTACGTACTAAAGCATAACCTGCCTGTCCTTGAAAATTGTAGAATTTATAGCGGCGCTGACGTCGGTGAGTAGTAACTGTGAAGTTAGCTGTTTATGAGTACAAGTAGATGAAGTTAGTTGAATAATGTACAAATTTTCTTCGCGGCATTAGTGAGAAAATTTTCATGCTCCGTGATTTTTTAATATTTTACAAAAAGAGGAATTAAAAATAGAGAAAAATTTTATTGTGCGTGGATGTGCTAGTGGTTTAGCATCTGATCTAAAAAATTGACTTAAAATGTCTTTTATTGAGCGAACTAAGCGATCGCAGCGGCTCACTTATGGTGTCCATATTTCTGGAACATTATTTTCTCTCTAACCTCCATATGTAGCAAGCTACTTTGAGTTTTCAACTAAACAAATATGGAGTTTAGAGGTAAGGAGAACAATCTTTCATTGGAGAATAGTTGAAAAAGTGTCCATCTGTAAGCAATAAATAACAGTTCAAAAACTCTCCGCAACAGCGCTGGAGTAGCTAAGGAAACAGCTACATGAAATGAGTTGTGAGCAGTTGTCGACGGTTTGAAGTGTGCTGCTAAACTGCACAGTAGCTCTAAAATCTAAAATAATTTTATTTAGTAAGTATAACCTCGAAAAAGTCGCCTATTCCACTAATATTTTCCGACGCGTTCTTTAAAATTGTCCTCGTAGCTATAGTGGCACCACCCTTATTTAACGGTTTTCACAGACACTTTTAAATACACAGCTAACCTCCATGATACACAGTCTGTACTCCTTACCTCTATAATAATGGGCATACCGACCTAATCAGTGCATGCCATGCAAGAAATTCAGGACTTCATAGGCGTGATTTTTACTGACAGCTGTCGCAGAGATCAAGCTTTCTTTTATGAATACATTCCATATGAACAAATTTCATTTAAGTCAATGTGAGTTTTGGCGGGAACTTGAACGTATACGGATTGTCGCTCCTGTTTTGTGGTTTGAATAATGGTTTTAAGTGGTATTTGATTCGTAAAAGGGATCCGTTTTTTGAATTAAGTGTCCGCGTGTATGGACTATTTTAGAAAACGACGAAACAAGTGCTTTGATATCGATATAAACCTCAAGTTATTTTGATCGCTTGGGCGCCTTATGAACTTGAGTGGCTGTCGTCATCAACTGTCCGCTAGGTTGAGCTGTCGTCAAAATCTCCCAACGGCTTTGCAATGTGACGCATTCAGCATATTGTGATGAAAAAGAATATAAAATGAAGATTCCGAAAGAAATGATAGGCTCAGAAAGACTAGAACCCAGAGCCGTAAAGCCAGTTAATAAAAAAATTAAGTCAATGTTACCTAAAAATATTTGTTTTCATTTGTATTAAAAATAGGTTATATTTGTTGTCATTTGTTTACTTCGTCAATTTCTTAATGTTACTATTACACATTAAAGTTAAACGAAATAAAAATGGTTTGTGAAAAATGCGAGAAAAAACTTGGTCGTGTTATTACACCAGACCCATGGAAGACTGGTGCTAGAAACACAGTTGAATCTGGAGGCAGAAAAGTTGGTGAAAACAAGGCATTAACTGCAAAGAAAGCTCGATTCAATCCTTACACGGCTAAATTCGATGAATGCAAGTAAGTTGTATAAAAAGTATTTGAAATTTTAACTGCCCTAACCTCTTCTTTTCCTTTTACAATTTTCTTCTAACATCCCCCACCCTATAAATCTTAAGTCTATTAAATTTAGTCTACATTCCTTTTGTACAAACTATTAGATTTCATATCCATTTATAACAATAAACTATAAAGCTTTTGTTACTATCATCCATTTTATTATACTAGCAATAATTTTGTAAAAATATTTGTAATTTTTTTTTATTTATATGGAAGTGTGTATGACTAGGGGTCGAAGTTGCGACGACGAACTATTTCCAAAGAGCGTTTTGTATTCTGCAAGGATGAAACCGTTTTACCTCCTGGGTTCAAACAGTCTTCATTGCATAAGCCAATCTTCGAATTACTTGACGCGACTTTTTATTTTACGCCTATGATAATACAGTCAAGAACGTAAAACTATCTATCTCACTCGTCGATTCGTCATCCTTAACATTCTGCATTATATTGTAGTCTTTGCTTCCACATTTGTTTACAAATGTTAGTTAAGTCGAAAATCGTTGATAGTTGTAAGAAACTGCAACCATTTCAATTAACGAAAACAAAGCAACTGTCATTGTACGAATGTAGGATTTAATTGATCACAAAGTCTGTTGCCACCACCACAAAGAAACTGACACCATTTTGATAAGTTCCAGCCCATGTTGATGATGCAATGACAGAGCTACTTTTGTTTAAATTTATCAAGATATTCAATGTAATAATGTAAAAATGAATAAATAAACGAACATTTAAATTATCCCATGGGAACATACTACCAGCATTAAAAGTATCCTATGTACTAATCATAGTCATAGTGTACCTGTGGGCCATATTTTATCCAAATCTATTCAGCAATAAGGTGTAGATTGTAAAAAAATTTACAAACTCGCAAACAAGAATTTACACAGAGTGTGGGTGACTAACGTATGGCAGGGCAAACAATCAAGTGGACTGTATTAGCATGGTTCAAAAGGAACCAAAAAAAATGGCTGAAGCAGCACGTGGCATACTTTGAACAATGGGTGCGTTTGGCAGAAAAAAGCGCTAGCAAGCGCTTATAAGCGCTAAAATAGTTTTCGGCCAGGACACGATTCCTACTTCAGTAGCGCTGACACAATCCGCCATTTTGCTTATTTAATTTGTTTGTTTTGAAGTAGAGTTTATAAGTTGTTTTGTGCAATATTAGTTTTAAGTAATATAATGACATGAATAAACATATACATGTTATTAAAAATTCATGATTGGTAAGTTTTTAATATGAATACTTTACAAACATATATTTAAATTAGATTATGTTCCCCCGTTAAAACTAACATCGTGTCCTGGAGGAAAATAGCTACTTATGATTTGACAGCGCTTACCGCTTACGATCGCCATTTTGCTTACAAGCGCTTGCTAGTGCTTTTCTCTGACGAACGCACCCAATGTACTTGCTTTGAAATTAATTTGAGGCGTTGGCTGACACGATGGCAGAAGAGCTGCTGATAAAGGCGCAACAAATAAAGCAGCTTATAATAAGGATGGGCACTTACCTGGGGGAAGCGTCGAGCAGCCTCTCTCTTGATGGCTATGTGGGCATGATGAAAATTATTGAATTGTGACTACGATGGTGATGTGTGTGTTCTTATAGCTTCCGGCATCTCCCCTTTCTACATAGCGGAGCGCACTTCTTATTGGAGGACCAAAGATGTGTCCACCTGTATCTAGCTCCCCCCTACTAGGCAGGCCCGTGCGGGAAGGAACGGAAGAGAGGGAGATTATGTCAGCCAACTCAACTAACAAATATATCTACAAATACAAAATGCAAGGCTGTGCGTTGGCTCAACCAGAGTGACTTTTAGATTTAGTTGTGGAATAAAAAAAATACTTTTTAGACCCGAAGTAACCTAAATAATTAGAATATAGTTGTGCAATAACATTATAGCTTTACTTTTTATTTTTTCAGAATATGTAGAATGAAAGTACACCAAGTTGGTTCACACTATTGCCAAGCCTGTGCATACAAAAAAGGTATATGTGCAATGTGTGGCAAGAAAATATTGGACACTAAAAACTATAGACAGAGTTCAACTTAGCTATAAGTAAAACATAGAGTAGGGTATTTATTAAGTTTAAATAAATTTTTGAAATATTTGTGTTGCAAGTTATCATTATCCTCAAGTCCAATGTTGAACATAGGGAAACATCACAAATTGCCCAAAGCAATATCCTCACCCTCCAACCATTAATTCAGCATGCCTTATCAGGCTGATACTACTGATACTTCTGTATGTGGTATAGCCATGCTGCAGCTTTATTAGTAGTATAGTTGTAGCACTCGGCTCAACCGGGGAAAGACCACGCTCTCACAGAATATTAGCGTAAAATAGTAGCTGAATGCCGTTGTGTTTCGTACGGTGAGTATATAGAACCGGAGACTATTTTTACTGGAAACGAGGCATTCCATCTTAGTCCTCACAGGTGACAATGCATCTGCATTTTGATTTGTAATCGAGGATAGATGTATATATCTATAGGCCACAGCAACTGCTTACCATCAGGTGGACTGTGTGCTCGTTTGTCACCCTATCCTATAAAAAAAACTATGTAATAGGGGTCATATTATATTGCATTTGCCAGTATGCGGCCACCAATTAAGAACATTTCATCCTTATTGGTTGTTGATTTTTAAAGCTTGGTAGGACTGTGAGTTACTTATGTCCTTCTATAGTTTTGGTTTTTTGTACCTCATAACTGTAATGTCCCCACTAGATGGAGTGCCGACCTGGTAAGACATGCAGGAAGTCGATGGATGCAGGTGGCTCAGGACCGTGCTTTGTGGCATACCTTGGGGGAGGCCTATGTTCAGCAGTGGACTTGTAAAGGGCTGTAATGATGATGATGATGATGATGAACTGTAGTGGTCAGTGAATCTGAAGTGATTGAACCTTATGATCAGTCTCAAGTCTAGTTACAAAACCAGGTGAGACACAATGTTTGTACAACATACATATTGGTTTCTGAGTCTAGTTTTTGTGTCTTTTCGTCTCTGTTGCTTGACCAAATTTCCAAATTACCGTTACAGCCTATTAAAGTCTACTGCTAAACATAGGCTTCCCTTATAGATTGCCTCATAGGATGGGATATATAGGGCAATCAAAGTTTTAATTTTATTTTTGGTTGTTATTAGGAAGATGCTGCTGCCTATCTCTTGATTTGTTTCCCTCTGTCGCCTCTTACGACATCCGTGGAATGATACGAGGTAATGGATATTCTTACACCGCCACTTCATGGTTTTTTCCATTTACAAATTTCCATTCTCATGACATAAATGTTCCATAAGCCATGGGCAGGTCAGGTTAGTCAAATGTTTCTTATTCATCCACACAATTTATTATTTAACATTCTACTATTAAAATACCTTAAGTATTGTCAAAACACTGTGTAGAGGTGGCGTGAAAGAATCCACTGCCTTGTATCAAACCCATGAATGTAATCTACTTAGATTAATCCAGAGGAAAATGGAATGAGATGGCCAGGAGCATTTTACTGACAGTTACTAAAACTTCCATTACCGTGTGTCAGTTTATTTTGCATAGATCGGACCATAAACAATAATTAAAAAAAGCTGAAGGTACTCCGGGTTTAACAATGACATCGGGACGTCAGTCACCTCAGTCCCCCGTGACAATGGGTGCTGGAAAGCACCCGAAACGTCGGGAATTAAAAATAATTTAAATTAAACGCGATAAAATCCGTAATAATAGTTTTAATATACTATGGAAAATATCTCCTCTATTAAATGATCTATGGGGGAGGCCTATGTTCAGCAGTGGATTTGTGAAAATCTTAATTTCAATGTATGACAACATAAAGTAATAATGTCATAGTTTTTTTGGTCAAATTAGTCCTCTTAATTGTATTTGTAATTGTAAGTTTTACGCCAATAATAAAAGTAGCAAATATAAATTAGCGTATTTTTTTACATGTACGTAAACATTTTGGAGGACATCCTGGTGGTGTTTAGTCTATACAAAATGTAAATATATTATTTTCTTTTTTCCTTGGATAATGACTCTAGCGCAAATAAATTTTTGAGAATTGTAGACCCTTTTTACTGGAAACAAAGCATTCCATTTTAGTCCTCAGGGTTGATAACGCATCTGCCTTTAGGTTCTTAATTGAGTAGATGATGATGTCAATGGCCCACAGCATCTACTTACCGTAAGGTGAACTGTGGTAATGCTCTTTTATTATTCTATGAAAAAAAACTTATGATTCAATATATATATATATATATATATATATATATATATATATATATATATATATATATATATATCCCATCTGTTTTTTGCTTTTATTTAAAAATTAAGAACATTCTAAAATCACAAAAATTGCCCAGTTATACCACTATCACGGGACACCCAGTCCAAAACATAAATAAATAAAAGAATATCTTACAGTTGTTTTTCTCATGATCTTTATAAGAAGTTTTAAGGCACAGCGTGACAGCATTAGTAGAATGTTAAAAACATATTTTTCAATTTTTTTGTTGCTAGAAATTCTTTATAATATGGTCCTATTTAAAATGTTGCTATTTTGTTATGTCTCTGTCTAATATTCATGCACAAATTATACAGGAATACCTTGTAGTAGTACATATTTATGTAAATCCAAAATGAAACTTATGTCAGTCTAGAAATAATGATAAAGATTGTAAATAAATAGGTTTTTATAATTATATCTTCCTTTGTTTTATTATAGATGTAAAGATGTTTAATATTAACAATATTTTTTAAACAAATATTTTTCTGCCTAAATCTTATCCAGAGTGAAGTTGTGGTTATTAGAGGACTGCGATAACGTAAATAGTCGCCATGTTGTGGTGCAAGAGAATCCATTATTTTATTTCTTTCAGTGGGTGTGGTGAAAGTTGACTAATGGAAATACTTACGAGATCTTGTAGTAGATATCGTCGTTTCTTACCGTGTAGTGGTGGTGTAAGAATACGCACTACCTTATATTATCGAGTGGGTGTCGTAAGAGGCGATAAAGGGTAAAGGTGCAATTCCGTAGCCGACTGCAGGCAGCTGCAGCGGTCGCATGTCGTTGTGACGTCATGTCGCTGCAGTCATGATTCCGAATCCGACTGCAGACGGCAGCAGCCCGTGTCCAGTTTGTTCCGAGTGTTCAGTGGGACATCACGTCTGACGTGTTTGAAATTAGCGATCGCGATTTATTTTTGTGTTTTTTTAGAAAAGGAAGAAGATGATGATGACTTGTTTTTATTATACAAGTATAAAGAAAAAAGATACACGTCCTATGTTGAAATGCAGAGGAAGAGAGGGAATGTACAGTGCGGGATATTGGGCCACCTGCTTTATCGGTTTGACTTCCTTGGACTCGGTGAAACTCGTTTTTAAGAAAAATTCAACGTTCTGTCGCTCGGGCGTTGGCGGCACAACTGATCTGCGGTCGGGCTACGGTGTCGTCTGCCGCTAGGCAAACGACGTATCGCTAGCCACGGGACGTATTTCATAGAACTACATAGAAACCAGTTGTGTCGCGACGACACGTCGCTTGCTGCTGCTGTCTGCAGTCGGCTACGGAAGTGTATCTTAACAAACCGGGAGATGGGCAGCAGCATCTTCCTAATAAAGACTAAAACTATAAACCTGCATTTGCCAACCCGCTTGCCAAGCGTGGCATCTATGGCAATATACCCCCCATAACAGTTACAAAGAAACGGCGGTACAGCGGTACTTAATAGGCTGTAACGGTAAAGATAATATAGCTTAAGCCCTACTAACCTATGTCTCAACCGGTGACAAGAAGTCTGATACTATGATGTGTCAATCCATCGATGATCACTGTAAATCATCCGTAGCTCCCTAATATTGACTTAATTCGTCCCAGGAGTATAGCCATGCTGCAGTTGTAATATGGTTGTAGTATGAACGGGTCAGCTCGACCGGAAAAGGACCACATTCTCACAGAATACTAGCGTGAAATAGAAACATAGCCGGTGAGAACAGGAGTTCCATTTTACCGGAAACGAGGTATACCATCTTAGTCTAGTTTTGTTAATCCATCTCAGTGACCATATAGATTATAAATAATACTTATTGAAAGTCACTTTTTTAATTAAAAAAAACAGGTTCGAAAAAACCTCTGTCCTGGGAAGAACCAGCAAGAAAACTAATGGGACTTTGTGTTAAATAACAGCTTACTTACACAATGATGTTACAAATAACAACACAGAACAAATTAGAAAAAGCTTGGTAGCGGTCACCCTTCCCAGGGGTTATTATCATCCATAAATTCCTTAATATTACAATAACTTAACTAGTTAAATAAAGTTTTTGAACTGAGCAGGTCAAATTGTGAATATTTTCTGGAATTAACCCGTTAATGTTCCCATTAAAAATATGAATACTTAGCATTATTGCCAACAATTCACTGCTCACTTACGTCACCCATTCTGTTATTACGGACATGTGAATTGCGTCTACACGAAATGTAGCCGGCAAGGCAGACTAAATAACTTTTTTTATCGGATAAGGGTGACAAGCGAGCACACAGTTCACCTGATGGTAAGTGATTGCTGTGGCCGATAGACATCTACATTTATCCTCGTTTGCAATAAGAAATACAGATGCGTTGTCACCCCTGAGGACTAAGATGTAATGCCTCGATTCCAGTAAAACAGTTCTCCGGTTCTCTACACTCACTATGCGAAACAGAACAACATTAAGCTGCTATTTTACGCCGGTATTCTGTGAGAGCGTGGTCCTTCCCCTGTCGAGCCAACCCATGCTACAACCATAATACCTGCAGCGTGAGCCACGCTGCAGGTATGGTAGCAGCATACCACGTAAACAGTATAAATAACTATAAAAGTGACTGCGACGTGGTCCTTCACTGTTCGTCGTATAAGGAAGTTCAAGGTTGCTTAGCGAACTATGGAAAAGACTGCTCGAAGTTTCTCTGTGCGATAGACTTCGTAACGAGAATATACTAGAGTAACC